ACAATAGAGGGTCATCCGCTATGCGTGCCTGTGTATTTATGCATATTTCTTTGTATGCGTTATGTTTATCTAAAGAGCGTTTTACGTAGGAGAGAAGGGATGGATCATTGAAATGACTTTAAGCTTGGATATTGTTCCGTTACAGCCAAAACGGCAAAATACGATAAAGTCCAGTTATATATAACACTAGGTCATGATACTAGCGTTTATAACATTCATTCACCTGACGCATCTAGCCTGAGTATGGGAAAAGTCAACGAATCGCTCAAGCCCATAACTTTGTTGGTAACTATTATTTAAGACGTGTATTTGTTGTTGAACCGTTAAAGCTTGAATGTAGGCACTGTTGCGTAGTTCTCACAGCTTGTCATGTTTTCGAAGGGTATAGTTAATGATTTATGCACCATTCAACGGGAAGATGGCTTTCAGCACCTAAGGTAAACTTCAACCGCAATGAGTGCCCCCACCCCCCACACAGAATCCCTTGAATTCTGTATGCTATATAGTTAACCAGTGCTATATTTATTTGTGGTGTCTACTGACAGCGCTCAGAGACGGGATCACATCGGCAATATTTATTCAAAATGTTTTTGTGTATCTATTATCTGTGAAATTCACGCTCCACATGCGTAATTTTACAGTGTAGCACTTTTTAACAGTGTACATCAAACATAATTTTCTATGATTATTATCTTGCGCCTTGACTGAGGACGACATATCTAGACAAAATCATTCGGCATTAACAAAATCTTAGCTATTAGCAAATTTTACCTATTGTCAAAAAGTGATATTTTGAAACCACTACGCGACTGGTTGTCGTTCTGCATACAAAAGCTGTCCCAAAACGCTTGGTCGGCAAAAAACAGCCGACGAAATACCGAACGTTACCCATTTTTAGGAAAGGAGTTCCTGAAATACTTCAGGACGTCATCTATTCGTGACACATGTTAGTCACAAATCAAAGGACTGTAGGATGAAGACTCTACGAGCCATGAGCGAATTGAACTAGAGACTTCAGGGCGCGCTTTCTTCGTACGGCTACAGATTCGTGGCTCCCATAATCAAATGGTTGGCTATTACCATATGAGTACAACTGCGGGCAAAATACCCGTTGTGCAAGTTGCGTCGTATTTATTATGACGCAGCGATACCTGCTCGTATCGCGCGAACTTTCAATTTTCATACAGTCAGGGTTTTGCATGCTGAGGAGGATCGAGGGGACCGCGCAAGCAGTTCTCACAGCATTTGCTTACCTAGGCAGTAGCAGGCAAAATGCGTCAGTTATGATAAAAGGTTCGCGTTTTCCTTGTCAAGATAATACGAAGCCTTTCCAAATTGCGCAGCTACAGTTAAAGTAAGCGCTCATGATTCTTGTGAGTGATAGTGATTAAATGCAGTTTGAGGTAGTAATATTAATAAAACATTGAAACACAAAAACAAAATAGCCAAATCACTAGAAGCAAGCTGAATAAATTGAAGAGAGAAGCAGATCATCTGTTAACAGATTTCGTGCGAAGACGACCTCATTGTCATGGTCAAGGAGGACGTCATTACGTTAGCGGCGTTGATACCGTAAACAAAGTGACTCGTAAGAGAATCCAATCACTAATAGAATCCCATATATAATGTTTCAAAATATAGCACGAATCGTAGTGATACACCGTGTCTAGATAGAAGACTTCGTGATATTTTATTTCCCACCGAGCAGCTTCTGTAGGAGACACATTTCATACATATGCCGCAATTCACCAGAGCTAAGATACTCATATTGGCAAACTAATCTTAGAAAGCTTACTACGATTTAATGATTTGTAAAATATTATGTTTTCTTCTAGTAGAACCGCAATCGTTCAGCCGTCATTATATATACTACAATTGCACTGCGACAGCGCCATCTTCCCGACTGGGCTTCATGATCTTAAGCCCATTTGATCATTATAGTTAGTACAGAGCATTCGAAACAACATATATTGTAGATATGCACATAACTAGATTGTGTTTGCGATAATAATACTAATAACTAATATTTTCTATAGATCCCGGTCACAAAAGGCTATAAAGCTTGTGTGTGGGGGAAGGGGGCGTGCTTTTGTGTTTGTGTCAAATACTAAAAGCTCCCGTTGCATAACAACCTAAGTCGGCAGGTCACAGCACTGAACCGCAGTCGCTTGATTTCGCTGACAAAGCACGTAGCAGGGGGGGGATAGGGCCATATGCAGAACGATGCGGTGGCAGTACAGGTTCATTGCATAGTACGGCCGTGGTATAGCAGCGAGCCATTAAGACAATGGAGTTTGTGCGCGCCATGTTACAGAGCTAGCAACAGCTGCTGGTTACCTCTTTTGCCGACGCTGCTGTCGTAGTTACGGTAATTCTTTAGCACTACAGATGGATGACCCAGTGCCATTCGTACCTATTCAATGAGTTGTGCACAACTCTATTCGTCATGGGGCCAGCAAATGTCTGTTCTGGCCGGGCCTGGCAGGACTCGACTCGTTCCCGTCAGCAACAACGAGAGCTGGGTGTCAAGGTGAAATGTGCCACTCCGTACCACAATTATATCTTACTTTTAAAATTAGCTCAGATTCAAGATTCAGAAGTTTTTACTAGTCGCCGTTTGTGGATAGCGGATGCGTCGGTCTCTGCTGTTATGACGGCTACGTCTTTTAGTTTCGACTTTGCTAGCAGCAGCAGCAACAACAAACTGTACAACAGGAAAAGAAAGTGAAGTTCAACAATAAACAAACACGCTAACGTTTGCTACCACAGTGGAGAGATACCACTGAAGCCAATTTTTTGTTAAAATTAGGACGATATTCATTATATCAACTGAGTTATCTTGATCGTGAGTCCTTGCGGGTAGAATGCAGTCACCAATAATGGTAGGGTGGTTAGACTAATAGGTAGGTAGGCAGGCGCTGATGAACAGACAAACGACTGTATCAACTGATCTGTCTGCAATAACGATCATATGCAGAACAGATCAAGCTCTTTCTTTCCTTATGCTGGAATACAGCGGAAAAGAAGTGAAGATTGAAAAGTGCGCTTTTTCTCTTATTCTAGTTTTCTTATATTTACTTATATATATATATAATATATATATATATATATATAGGAGAGGATAGGGGTTGCATAAGGCTAGCATTGAAAACAGCCGGTGTCGTAAGAGTGACGCACATAATTCATTAAGGGCACTTCTATCGCACCACACGCCGTAGAGCACAGATCGAACTGTATGAGCCACTCACAGTCTCTTTCTAGAAACAACTGCGATTGTGACAAAAAAAAAAAGATGATACTGTATAGTCATTTACCACTACGAATAAAAAAACTATGATTCGCCTACATTCTGCTCCGTAGTGTGGATGCTTTTTAGTGGCCCAACCACTGGCTCATTGACGGGCTGTATTTTGGTCGAGAAGCAAGGGAAGTGAGTAAAAATTTTCTCTCAATTCTTACCCAGTAACGCTCCTTTAAAGCTAATTTGGCGACGCGGTAACTATCATAGTTATGCATGATTCTCGTATAAAAAATTATCTGTAGTAAAGTCATGATCGTGATCATGATATATCGCCGTAGGTTGTGTTTGTCGATAATATTGTTCTGTATAAATGGCGAAAAGTTTTTTTTTTTTTTTATCTATTTTTCAAAGCAACTTGTGACATGTTGCTGATTATGACGACATATGGTACCACAAGTGCGAGAATACGCTGGATATATACATACACACACATATGTATGTGTTTCTGCTAAGCTCAGTTGTACTCTGAGACTACTTCGTTATTTGAAATTGTTTGTAAAATCAGCATCGACGGCATCTGGTATTATAAATGTTTGAAATGAAGTGACAGTCCATTAAGCCCCACCTCAGCCTGGTCCGTTTATAGCCTAAAGTGGCCATGTAATAAAACTCAATGTAGTGACGTTCATAAATTGTAACTTGCGTTCAGGTATCTATTGAACAAGTGGCTTTATGGCAGGCAAAAATATGGCAGAAAAATAAGCTGACTATTCTGTTTCTTTATCGTTTAACAAACGTTCGCTGAAACGCGAAAAATTACTCGGCTGTTTCATACATCCACCCCACGTTTTAAAGTTTGGCCAATGAAGATAACCTAGTCGCACGGACTGCATTCAATTTTTGACCCGTATCAATTTCAAAAGTTGTGAAACTTTCATTCCATTAACATTTCAAACCAACGTCCCCTTGCTTAGAGAAGGACGAGAGTGGCCCAAATAGCGCTCGTCTCATATAGTTCTACCTTCCCTCATACATGCATACGTACTAAGCCATTAAAAGGCATGAGCCGTAACCTTGATAACTCAGTAGTAATATAAAAATGATACCAGCAATCTCAAAATTAGGAAGTTCTATATCGGCATATACGCGGGTAGATGTGCCCATACCGGTCGATATCTACTGATAAGGACAACAATCAACATCGTTCATTAGATACCAACCGACGCGTGCTGACGAAAGCTGTTAACCAATAATGTATAGAATATCAGCCTGCATTCTCAACAGCGGCACTCTGCAACAGAAAAACATTCTTTGCTTGCACAGTACCGCCATTTAAGCCGTACAATTTATACTGCTATAATAAGTAATGCGAACGTCACCTGACTAGATGTATTAAGCTGGGCACTACTACAACGACGCCAAGATCAGCTTCGATCGACGCTCGCTGGCCGGCGACCCGCGGATCGATCGTTATAATTATCGTCCGCTGTAGACGACGCAACAAATAAGCCAATCACCCACTTCCTTGTCAACTTAATAGAAGAGGAAGTAACGCAACGAAAGGAAAATAAGGTAAACAAACGGCTATAATAAATATGTCTCTATGTTAATACAATTATAGTTCACCATGTTTGTGTCGTGTAATATTTTTGTGGTCGTGTAAAGGATCAAAAAAACAAGACAACGTCCTATTGTGTTTAGATAACGAGGCCAGAAGATACAAGCAAGCGGCTGGCCGCGTACGCAAAGAGATTCTTATCGGATTTACATAATTTGAATAACGAAGAAATTAATGAGACGAGTCGGTGCTGACACGAAGCACCAGGATTTAAAAGGGGCTGATTTAGCGAGCTGAATGTACGGAAGCCATTTTTAAGGATTAGGATAGAAATAGCATTTGTCACATGCCCTCGGCTGATCTCTTTAGTCACAATCACTTACAAGAGAGTAGAACGAATCATTGTATGCATTGACAAAAAGCCCCAGCGGCTTATGAGCCAGCGAGTGCCCGACTTGTTGTTGAAATGAAATTTATTCTAGCTGCTTTTCCTTTCGCTTTCTGGTACCTTAACATCATATGTCAAAGGCAAAAACGAGCTTATTGTTAGAAAGGAAACATTATTTTGGCAGAAGTTGAGTGCTGGACTTTGATATGGTGGGATAGCAACAAAATGTAGATAAGGACGATCCGTCCGTTCAGTTCATGCATTAAACGACGACTGGTACCTACTCTAAAATCGGACTAAATCGCTATATTTTCCGTTGTCTAGCCCAATAATAGACAGCGTAATTTTTAAAATGTGTTTTCATTGATCGTCAGCTGAAGCTATCATTAAGACTTCACTCACTGAAATGCTGTCCATTAATATGATCACGGATGTCTATTTATGATACAGGAACGCCTTTCCCTGTTGCTTCAACTGAAGAACTAGATGTAAATAGGTCTACGATCTAAGAAACGAATATTCGAAGCTTGCGACTATTTCGTGATAGTTTATTTCACTCGGTGAATTCAAGGAAACAGCAAATAGTGATGGGAATCTGCTTGTTGTGATAGGAGAATCGCAGTGATACGAACGGCGCATAGTTGGTATTATCGGCTCTGCGCTTTTGTTGGGTGCATCAGAACGGCACCGTCCGCATCGGGTAAATATAATCAAGCAGGCCATTTAATCGCAGACATTTGTTCCTTGAGTTGATAAGCTATACCCGACTGCGTTTCGTCGGAAGTCATCAGAGGTGAGCTGAGTTTTTCCGGGCAAAATGTTTTGGCTGCGAGCTTTACAATTTTTTTTTTTCTTAGAAATGTATAGTTTTTTCTATAAGGATGCGCTGAGATTCTCTTTGATATACAACAGGTAGACATCGAGAAAAACGACCTAAGCCGAAAACAACTGTCAACTGGTGGTCAATGGTAGCATGTGTCGGTCTGCGCGAATTGCTTTAGACGGTTGGCTTCGAACATAAAGCAAAAGGTATTAAGCCTAGACTATCTCACGAGTGCCTCTGTTTACTAGGCAAACATGTTACTAGTGTACCGCTAAGGGAACTATCTCACGGACTAAAGTTCATCTAAGGATTATATGTTATTGTCAGTTTGTAACAACTGTTTACTAGGCAGGCACATACTGCTGAAGTATTTCTTTTTGTAGGCGAGCTGTTTGACATTCGTGTTTCCTTACTCATGAAGAGTATGAACCGTTCTGAGCATTGGTCAGACGAGCGCAATAGGCCTCCGACCATGACCTCGTAACCGCCGACACTGATGACTCTTTCTTTCAATGAATCGGCAACAATCAGTACAGGGGGCAAGACATACCCCCGGTGCCCCGCTTGGTGCTACGGCATCTACGTTACATCGTCTTGCTTTATCGCGTTTACAAGTAGATCGCATCTAGCCTTAAATGAAAATGCCAAAGCAGGCACTCCTTTACCGCTATCGTAGCTGGCATAAATGTTACCTATCAGTAATTTACTAGCAATCAACAGTAGGAATTGCATTATCATCGTAGTCACAATTCAACAAATAGCACCTAGTAACATAAAGGAATTGCTGTTCTCTAAAATGTCACCGTTTTGCTTGCATCTACCTCAAGGATAAATTTCACTCTCCATCCCAGGCAAAACCATTCGCGACAGAGGCGAGCAAGGTTCTTGAACGGTTGGCCATAACACCACGATGATGGATGAAAACACTCCTGGCACTCTTTGTTGCACTCCTCGACAATCGAGCACTTCTCCAACTTGCCCGAGAGACGAGTTACATTTTGCATTACTCCGGAGCGCGACGGCGAGCCACGCTCGAAGTGGGCGACGATCGGAGAAAGAGCGATAGGGGCACACTTATGATGCGCACGCAGGTTCCCCGATGTCAATCGCCACTCGGCATCAGGTAGGTTCATACAAAAATCTGAACATGAATAAGATTAACGAGCCCTCGGAGACGTCTGGGAGTCAGCTCGCGCATGACGTACGTTTATGTGCAAACAATAAACGCGTCTTTGTTTGTAGATGTCAGTAACTAAATTGCACAAATTCACACCATCAATATCACCATCATTAATGAAGTTCACTACGAAAGTCGCTCGGAAAAACAAAACACGTAATCCTTGAGACGGCGAAAAAAGAAAAATAGTCACCCAACGCAAAGCGACGAGGCTTATTATCCGTTAGCTATGTTTTTACACTAACTTTCACTATAACATGATTATCAGTGGTCACACGCGACCCCGGGCACGCTTTCAACGCGAAAGGCGAGTGCGAACTACAAATCAGCAACTTCGCATATCTCAGAATTGAAGAAAAACCTGACACGTCAAACCAATGGACTATGATGCAGCCTTCGCCCAACTGTTTTTTCTCGTAGCGATAACAACAATTGCAATTGAAGGCGTCCGACGCTGAAGGCGGCATTTTCTGTCTGAAGTTCGCGCGTGTTGCCATCAGTCGGCGCGGCCGCCGCTCTTACGTCGAAGAGCGCTAGAGCCGGCGCAAGGAAAGGGAAACTGAAGCCGGGCGAGTCTCCAGCTAGGGAAGGATTCAGTCGGACGATCGTTTGCTATTTGATTAAATATTAATCAAATACGATGTATGAATCCGAATCTACTAAACCCGAGTAGTGAATGGAATAATAGGTATCATATTTAATCACTGGGAACCATATTTCGACTTAAGGCAGCGATGAATTTTTTTAAAAACAATGGATGGATAACTTTTGCTGACGCACATGTGTGCCTTGGCAAATCTGGACCGGTATCGTTTAAATAAGTACAATAAGTACGAATATATGTGCGATGTACGCTTGTCATTGTCTAACAGATATAGCAAAACGAAAACGATAAGTCTTCGTCAGCCAACCCATGATCGACTAAAGTTTACCATTGCTTTACAAAGTGGCAACAAATGAGCTCAATTCTGATTGCGGTCAAATCGCAATGCCCCTTATACGCATTACATTTCTCATTTAAGTATAAGGCGCTTTGCACCGGTGATGGGTGGACCTGGTTAGACACTGAATGATGATTGTAAGGTATTGGATAACATACGCCCAAGGTCTAACAAAGGACTCGAGAACTGTGTGAAAAAAGTCTTTGTTCCAATTTAACAAGAGCAAAATTTTAAGTAATCGCATTCCATTTGAAAAACCCCACACCGACTCAAAAATATCCCAGTATAAAAGCTACCCATTTTCTGCTCAAACATTGAAAATAACAATATCAGGCTTCAGTGCGACTCGTGATACACGAGTCTACACGATGCAGTTTAATCATGTACTCAGATAGATGGAGACGCAACTTGTCGACAGGCTTAGCCATTTCTTGAGATAAAGTGTAAACAGGGCTTTGAGGAACTTGAATGGATCGTCGCATAATCTAAATTGCCTAAATACGAGATAATTAGTCTTAGAGCAATAAATATGGGCGTCAAGGTATGTTCTCTCTCTCTTTACATACAGTTGTTGTTTCTGCTGCTACTGTTCTTATTATATTGTTAGCATGGCCAATACGTTGCGTGCCGCCAGCTGGCTCATTACAAAATCACTTTTTCTATTAACTGCCCTCGTGTTTCCGGTGTTACGCCCCCCTATTCGTATCCTATGCTTGTGTGTAATGTTATTACGCATTCTCGGTCTCTACGTTCAATATATAAAGTATGCCCCTTTGTAGTACGTGTTTGAGATACTATTGGTCGATCGACTAGCAGTCCTACTATGTACGTGTCCATTATCAAACGATGAATGCTACGATGGGTGATTACTAATCTGATAACGTCGTATGCCGCCCGTCTAATTGCTCGTCGAAGATCTACCGTTGTCCAGCCGACCGACCGACGGCGGCAAGAAAAGCAGCAGTAGCAATAACAACCACTTGGTGTAGTCGGTACTGGAGGGCAACCGACATGTCTTTCACCGGCGCGATAGCAGTAGCAATAAAAATGAATACGCTATTTTTCAGCTCTCCGATAGAGATCTGTTTCATGGGATCAACTATGTTTCATTCGACTGCAACAGTGCTGGCAAAATGAAAAGTCACTACGGCTATTGGCGAATATGTGTGAGACTCGTATTCTAAAGAAAAACGGTATATATAAATGATTTGTGCTCCGTCTGATTTATTTGCTTTGCTTGTGAAGTCCCGTTCGATTATTGTTATTAACAACTCTTCGAAACAAGGCAATGTTATCTTGAAGACAAGATGAGGTATAGGACATCACATCGCGCCGGTTGATATCGTTTGCTGTCGCAGTTACACAAGTGGACACACATTCGCATAGCCAATGCATCCTAAGCGCTTTAAAAGACGCTAGCATTATGTGTTAATCACTGACGGAATCGCTTTGACCATAATTCTCATCAGCAGCCATTGTGGGCTGTCTAGTCTACGATATTTGGGCTAAAGGCTGCCCATCCACGCATTTGGCCAGTTGGAACTTTTATTATTGTTGTTACGCGAACATTCATTAAAGAAATACGCATTTTCACTTACAGCAAAAAGCTGAAAGGAGTATAATAAAGAAACTGTTTGCGCCATCTAGCGATGAAAATGATCACTTAAATCCTCAGTAGTTGTACATACGTGTGCAAAGTGAGTTTTATTGGTAATGGTGGTGGCTTTACCGCAATAACAACTCTCGTCGAAGTCATACGGATAGAGTTCGCGTAAATGTGAAAAAATCGACCTTATACAACGCCGCTTCACTAATCGTAACGGAACCCGACATTAGGGCACCCATGGTTGTAACTATGAACTAGCTTCGCCCTTCGTACAATTCACACTTTGGCGTCCATAGGCACAAAAAAAACAGAAGCCTTTTCAGTTTTCATATTCGCTTTTCGCTTGTTAGCTCTATTACAGATATTTATCTTCTATAGAAGCATAAGCGGAGCACGCAATATGTTCCCATGTCAATATGAGGATTAGGACACTACCATATATATATATATACACATTACATTTAACACATGCTGCTGTAGGCAACATTAGCGAACACCATTAATGTACTGGGGGGTTGGCGTTACCCGCAGCTCTCAATGGTATTCGCTACTGTCGACAATATGATCATGAAACGACCAAAAGCCATCTTGTCTCGGTAGATACTTACAGCCAACTGCCGCCCATGTCGCTTCAATCGGCGTTAATCATTACACATCGATAGCAGCACCACGAACGGCAGGCGATATGAAAGCTCTATATCAAGCGGCGTTTCTGTGAAAGGCAGGGTGCTTTATTGACTGGCTTAACCCAATAAACGGGGAAAACATACTATGATAAAGCACCGTATTGTTTCACGCCACAGTCCGAGCCTTAGAACTATATGTAGTTTTCGTTGCAACACTTCAGATGGCTGTAACGAAACGGTTCCGGGAAACGAATATCATAATGGAGGGTTGGGGTGCGAAAGGGCAAAGCCTTGAAACATCCAACGCTTCCTTTTTTTTTTTTTTTTTTTTTCGATAGCACAGTGCAGTAGACTGCTTTGAGACTATTAATATCATTAATAGATAGACATATTTGGGAGCGTACCGTTTGTTCTACCCATATCACTATCCAAACGTTGATCCTACCGAAGATCGCAGCCTCTTCTGATACCGAATGCTGGTTACGAACAAGTCCGATTGGTAAACGTATCGAATAGCTTCTGTGTCTATGTCTCTGAATGCACGTTTAGAAACTGAATACGAATGAAAGCAGTCTATGGTAACAGCGAAAACGTATGTTGACACTGATCAGTAGGATGCGCGTTAAGTCCACATGTATATGTAGTGCTTCTTCTTGAAAAAAACTTCGAAAAAAAATAGCACCCTATATTAAAAAAAAAAAAAAAAAAAACAATCTCTATATAACTAATGATCTCTCAAATGTATTCTTTTTTTTGGACGTACTAGATAAGCACGGCTGAGGTGATATATTGTCAAGGCGTTTCGATATTATGGCACTCGTGAGAAAAAATTAACATCTACAAATAAATAATTAAATATCTAATGTAGCTAACAATAGTTGCGTATATTCTGTACCCGTATATATATTTTACGTTCTCCAAGAAGGAGAGAGAGAGGAACGAGGAGGTCAAGTGTACTTTATGGCTACTAAGGGGCGAACGAAATTTAAGCATTTAACTATTAACTTGGTCCATTACTCAATCGCTAGCGCTATTTCAGGAAGATTTTAGAATTCAACAGCACGAATAGACGAACACACGGATAGTGTTACGGCGTGAAGTAACTGCAGTAGTATTACAGGTAATCGTAAATAGTAGCCCTTGATTGTGCGTGATATTGCCTCTTGACCTTCTGTCAGAACCATATTTCTAGCCCAGACTGACTCCTCCATTTAGCCGTTCGGGGTCGCTGCCAATTGCAACGTAAACATTTTCAATGAATAGTGCGTGTACAAAATAGAAAAAAGAAGCGTTTGAAATTTTGGCCACAGCTCGTTCTTTCGAAATTTGGTTCTAGCCGGGGCTATAGTGTGGGAAAGCAAAATCTGAACCCAATTTGCTACCGAAAAAAAAAACGGCATTGAGTGGTACATCCACCACGCGCGTCAAATGAACGAAGCCCAAACGAAGAAGTTGCAAAGCTTGCTCCTGCTTCTGTTGAACGTTGCCTTTGCTGGGACTATTAGTGCCTGCCACTATAATTGCAAAAAAGACAACAGTCAAGGCACGTATATAACAGTGCCCCGTAACAGTCAGGGCAGCGGAGGTG